AAAACTCATAAAAAAAAAAAAAAAAAAAGAATGGTTACAATGACTATTGCTAACTTCTTATTTTGTGGAAGGAATAAGGAGTTCTTTACCTGTAAATTGTGGCTTCCAGTGGTTTGAGGGTTGGTGAGAAAAATAAGTATGAGGAGATTTGGGGGCTGATGCAATTTCTTTTTCTAGAAAGACATGGTGGTGGATATATGTCAATATGCATTTGTCAGAACCCACAAAGTCGTCTCAACCGAGATTAGTTAAAAAAAAAAACAGAAGACAAAACAAAAAAAAAAAAGCCAAAGAGTAAGGAAAGATGGAATGCAGACTGAAACAAACAAATCTAACTTTATTAAATATGAATCAGATCACCACACTGTGGGGGGAAAATTGACCAAGAATGTTGGTAAATTGTGTTTTGATTGGATACTGTAAGGCTAAAGAAAAAGAGTAAAGCCTGCAGAACACCATATTTTAGTCTGCATATTTTTCTCTCTTAAGGATATAAGGACATAAGTCCAAAACTACTTTACATGCATGCTAGTTTGAACAAATAAGTTAGTATAGTGTACAAAATGAAAAATAATTTCCTCATGATTGGAGGAAGAAAATGCAATTAAGGAAATGGAGAAGGTTGGCATGAGCCCAGTGTGCTGGTTTCAAATCAACTGAGTCAACATGGACATCCTTTTTTTAAAAATACAGATACAGACAGAAAGAAAGGTTGGGCTGCATGTGTGTGCGTGCACAAGGCAGTATAACCCATAGATGGCTTAGCTCTGCATACTAGGAAGAAATAAAATGAATGACTTACCCAACATCACTGAACACATCTAGTATTGATACCATTTTTGAAATTTTATTCTCCAGGTTTATTTTTTTAAAAAAAGAAAAAAGCAAAGAAAAACAGGGTTCTTGCAAAACTAATGAATCCTAGAAATGGAGCATGGAAAAACAAAGTCTGCCTCCTGTGTCTTGGTATGCTTAAATATATATGATAATGTCCCAGAACACAGGGGATGACCTGGAGGAATTTTCAGTATCCAAAGCTGAAACAATTTGAGCCACAAAATAAATGATGACAGCATTAGATTAAAATCAAAGGGATAAAATAATTCC